ACAATCCCATGCTCTTTCTTTCTCTCTTAAAAAAAAAAAAAGAAACAATCAAGGAAAACAAACAAATAAACAAACACACCTTTAAAAAAGTATAAAAGAAGACAAAATATATGACAACAGAAAAAAAAGAAAGGAAAGGGAAGGGAAGGAAAAGAAAAGAAAAGAAAAGAAAGGAAAGAAAGAAAGAAAAGAAAAGAAAAGAAGAGAAAAGAAAAGAAAGGAAGACAAAAATGAGACCAAGAGGCTTCAAATATACCATCAAGTTTGTTTAGTCTTGGTCAACTATTTCTGGACATGAGATCTACCCTGAGGAGTGGTTAGAGACTCCACTGGAGAAAACTAAAAATATTTTTTTCTTTTACTATTGTTATCAATTTCAGATGGCTTCCAGGTTAAGAATTTGACCCTGTGTTCACTTCCCTTTATCCATATTGGGACATTATCTGACTCAACATTGTGCAGGTCTTATATACACTGCCGGTCTCTGTGAGTTCATATGTGTTTCAACCACATATGAACTGTGAGACACTGTTCATATCTGGGAGACACTGTTTACTGGGAGTTATCTCTTACTTCTATCTTTTTCAATCTTTCTGAAGCCTTGAAGGAAAGAGTTTGAGGAAGACCTCATACTTAGCACTGAATACTCCAAAGTCTCTAATTTTCTATACATTTTCCAGCTGTGGGACTCTGTATTAGTTATAATCTATTGTAATCAGGCTCCCTAAGGATGGCTGAGTAAGGCACTGATTTATGTCATTCAGAGTCATTTTATTGTTATGTACTTCTAAGAGAACAATAGTACTAGGTTTTCCCCTAGGCCTAAGGCCTATTGAGTCTCAATATCTTGGCCACCCTATCAGTCTTAAACATGGGTTTTATCTCATAGGGCAGGCCATAAACCCAATAATAGTAATAGTTTATGAGAGTTATTATGAGAGTAATAGTTTACTCTCATAATATTTGTACCACTATTGCAACAGAATAAGTCACAATCAAGTCACTGCTATAGGTGGCTGTTTACAGGGGGATTAATGATTACCTATTTCCTCTGGTAGCAAGCAGAGTATCTACGAGTACCATGATTAGTAATCAGTAAGTGTATAAATTCTGGTTGGGATCCAGCTTTACTTTTCCATGTGTAATGAGCTATTTAAGTGTTGTTGAATACCTTACCAAAATATATTTACAAATTTAATACAATTCCCACGAAAATCCCAACACAATTCTTTACAGACCATGATAGAACAATTTTCTACTTCATATAGAAAAAAGAAAAGAAATTCACAAGAGCTAAAACAATCCTGTATAATAAAAGAACTTCTGGGATATTACCATTCCTGATCTATAGCTGTATTGCTCAGCAATAGTAATAAAAATTTTATGGTATTAATATAGAAAAAGACAGGTTGATGAATGGAATCGAATCCCAAGACCCATATATAAAACTATGCACCTACAGACACTTGATTTTTTGACAATGAAGCCAAAATAGACGGGAATAAAATTACTAGGGAGACCCTGGATCTACACCAAAATATTGAGACTCCAGTGAATTCTGTTGGACTGGTAGAATGGTTTCCTACCAGCAGACCACCTCAGCACTCAGAGTGTAATTATTGATAGGAAAGATAGTGAAAAATCACCTACCAGATCCCACTTCTCAAGTTTATGAATAAAGTTTTTAATACCTGAACAAAAAAGTCTTTTATTTTATTAATGAAGACCAAAAAGCTACTTATTTTCAGACATCAAACAGCAGTACTACCTCAGTGTACTACTTTAGGGCTCCTCATCTCAGAACTTTGTGCAACAATCCACAGAAAAATGATTAGTTTTTTTCTACATTGTATAAGTATAGACTATTTCCTCATTATCATTGCTTTCCTTAGACTTAGTGAGTAAAAGATCAAAGGTAATCTGAACATTAACAGATTTGTTTTTATTTGAACGATTTCATTGTTATGTGCATGCGTGGGTTATAGGGGTATATAAAATGTGTGGCAATATGGTATCATGTATGTACTCATATGTGTGTGTGTGTGTATGCATGTGTACGTGCATGAGCATTTATTTGTGTGTGCTTGTGTTTCTGTTGCAAAACTAATTAGAAAGTAAAAGGTCATGAATTTCAGAGGGAAACTGATATATATAGAAAAAGACAGGTTGATGAATGGAATCGAATCAAACCCAGATATAAAACTATGCACCTATGTACACTTGATATTTTGACAATGAAGCCAAAATAGAAGGGAATAAAATTACTAGGGGGACCCTGGATCAACACCAAAATATTGAGACTCCAGTGAGAGAGAGAGAGAGAGAGAGAGAGAGAGATTGAGAGAGAGAATTTGAGAGAGAGTTTGAGAGGAATAGGGTACAGTTTAAATGAGATAAATAGTTTCTATTTTTCTCAAAGATTAAGTGTCGATAAGTGTGAAGTTTTATTTCTGTGTTTTCAAGTCTCTACTATTCCATTCATCAACCTGTCAATCTCTGTATCAATACCATGGCAGATTTTAATCACCATTGCTCAGTAGTAGGATGGTGATTCCTCCAGAAGTTCTTTTATTGTTCAGAATTGTTTTTACTATCCTGGGAATTTTGTTTTCCCATATGAAATTAAGAATTTCTCTTTCCATGTCTTTAAGGAATTGTGTTGGAATTTTGATGGGGATTATATTGAATATATAGATTGTTTTTGGTACGATGGCAATTTCTACTATGTTTATCCTATCAATCCATGAGCATGGGATATCTTTCCACTTTCTGACATCTTCTATTTCTTTCTTGAGAGACTTGAATATCTGTCATACAGATCATTTCATTTTGGTTAGAGTTGCACCAAACTGAAGGAGGAGGGTGACCCTGTAGAAGGACCAGCAGCCTCAATTAACCTGGACCCCTGAGATCTCTCAGATACTGGGTTACCAATCAAGTAGCATCCAGCAGCTGATATACATATACAGTAGAGGACTTCTGTGTCTGGGTTCAGTCAGAAGAGATCCACCTAACCCTCAAAAGACTGGAGGCCACAGTGAATGGTGAGGTCTGATAGGATGAGAAATCGGGGTGGGTACATCCTCATGGAAATGGGGAAGGGAGGTATGGGATGTGGAAGAGTCGGATGATAGACCAGAAGGTGGATAAAACCAGGAGTGCAAAAAAAATTAAATAATTTTTTTACTAAAATACAGTGTAATTGTTAAATACATTAAAGAGAGATGTAGAATTTTGAGAAACAATTGGTAGTTTCTCTCAATTGAGACTAATTTCAAATAAAATTTTCATTATGCTTCACCAGTTAAATATAACCTTTTATAAAGGTCAAGAGATAGTGGAAAACATGTCCTAGCCTTGTATCCTCGGGAACACAGTAAGTTATTAACTCACCCAATGCTAATTTCCTAAGTTTCAAACTACATGTTTAAAAAGCTTACATTAACAAATGGCATAAATGAACATATTTACATGACCCTTAAAGAGCCATTAGAAAATTGTAGAAATGTATGAGAAGTTACTATAACTACCTTTACCTCAGAAATAGTAAGCCAAAAGCAATACAATAGTCATAGAAGTTTGCAGAAGTTTTTGCCTCTATTGAGATATTATAAGAAGAATGGGTATGTAATTTCACATTGTTCTATTTAAATCATTATCTTAGCCTCTAAAGAAAAGCAGTGATGCTTGGAATCTAAAAGAGAATTATTAAGTTTACTTAATCAATTGTTAACTCAAATTACAGCTACTCTGTGAGCTATGGTTGCATTGTTCTAACAATCAACACATATTAAAGTATTGAGTTTACAGATATAGTGATAGAAATTTTTTCATCTTTGTCAATGGATACAAAGTGAAGTTATTTTGATTTTTCTGGCAAAGCTCTCACGGTGTCCTGTCTAGCTACAGTACCAGATTTTACAGTTAAGTGACTATTCCTCAGGGAACTTCATATTTTTCTCATGTAAAAATTATACACGATTCCATTATATCAAGATATTTTGCAAAATATGCTTAGTGACCAAAATATAGAAACTTCAGTAGAATTACAAGTATGGCATATAATGACAGGTTAAAGAAAGTCAACTCAAGATAAATTAGATAGACTTCAATATAAATGAATTTTTTGGAAACCCAATAGTATGGGATATTTCACACAGCCCATCTAAGATAAAGAATAAATTGTTTTATTGGATCTTTCTTAGAAAACAAAAAGTTTTTTGACTCCTATGTGTCCTCTTTAAGTTTTGGAGGCAATATATTCTTCATTTAGATTTATTATCAGAGACTATTTATCTAATTATATAAAATTTCAAATTCTGAGTAGAGGTCAGAACAACAAATGGATCTATAGTAGAACATACTACAAAGCATTCATAGCAGCATATCTGATAGCAGAAAACAATTCAAGTTACTTAACATATGTGCATGGACAAAAGTAAAATCAGAAAAGAGAAACAAGTATAAAAATTGAGAAGTTAGCAATAATAAACATTCAAATAAACATAATTTCAAGGACAGACAATTTCAATGGTAAATTCTCCCAATTCATATCCCATATCTGAATATAAAGGAAAAATAAGCTAATGATTTGTATTAGAGTCTAACTGATAATGAAACAAAACACAGAAAATATAGATGCACCTAAATGCACTTCCACAGCGATGTATTTCATTGTGTATTCAAAAATCCCATCAGTTAAAATGATAATGATTATTAACTATCACGGTATATAAGGAAGGAAAGTAAAAAGAAAGTAATTGAATGTATCAGTAATGGTAAAACCATTTTTGACGACCCAATCACAAAAATTCAAAATTATCTAATTTCCATATTATGCTTCTAAAAATACTGCTCCTTCATGTCCAGGACAAAATGATATGCACAGGCAAAACTAAGCACTCAGATCATGAACTAGTATAAACTTAAAATATAATCTACTATATACAGAAGATGTCATAAAATTTTAAGACTACATCACAAAATACTTAAAGTTAATATCATAACAATAATTTTTCTTTTAGAACCACTTTTGTGAATGCACTCTTTACCTCTTTGTTTCTCAGGCTGTAAACTAAAGGGTTCAGCATGGGAATGACCATAGTGTAGAAGACAGACACAATTTTGTCTGTGTCCATTGCATGACTAGAGCTTGGTTGCAAATACATGAAGATTGTTGTTCCATAGAAAATAAAAACAGCAGTAAAGTGGGAAGCACATGTAGAAATAGCCTTCTGATGTCCTGCTACTGAGTGCATCTTTAAGATTGTGATAAAAATTATAATGTATGATACTAAGATTATTATGAGAGCAAAGAAGATGTTGAAACTGGCTAGATAAATAAGTACCAGTTCATTGACATGTCTATCAGAGCAAGATAGAGCCATGATTGCTGGTATATCACAGAAAAAATGATGGACCACATTAGACTTACATAAAGAAAGACTAAATGTATCCACAAGGTAAACTGAGACATTCAAGAAACCAAGAACATAGCAGCCCATGATCAGACACATACATACACTTGGAGTCATGGTGGTTGCATAGTGTAGGGGTTTACACACTGCCACATAGCGATCATAGGCCATTGAGGCCAACAGGTAATTTTCAACAGTAATAAAGGCTGCAAAAAAGAACATCTGAACAGCACAGTCATTGTAAGAAATGACTTTGTCTCCTATTAAGAGCCCAGCCATGATTTTCGGGGTAATAGCTGAAGAGTAAAAAATATCCACCAGGGATAAGTTACCAAGAAAAAAGTACATGGGAGTATGGAGGCGAGAGTCCAAGAGAATCAGCAGGATCATTCCCATGTTCCCTACCAGGGTGATGATGTAGATGAGGAAGAAGGTAATAAAGAGGGGAAGTTGCAGGCCTGGATCATCAGTGAGTCCCAGCAGGAGAAAGTATGTCACTTCTGTCAAGTTCTTCAGTGGTGTCATCTAACAAACAAGCAATCCTCTGCAGTAATGGGAAAGCAATGAATAGGATGTTAACAACATAAAAATTGAGAAGGATAAATAAAATACATATAGTCACTGGAGTAATTTGATTAAAAAAATCCTCTAAAATAGCCTACACATCGAGGTGAATTTCATGTGCTAGATAAGTATAGGATCACATGCTTCTAAATATGGAAATTTTGATAAATGATTTATGCAACTTAAAAGTACTGTCTCTGGATTTTTTTCCTTCAGTATCTGCTACATTTTTTGCCTAAATTTTAATTTAGACAGAAATAACTCTGAGTTAAAAATTTTGAATTTTGTATGGATGTCCCCTTCCCTCTACTGGGGGCCATGCTATCTACTAGAGGTGGTCTCTTCAGGTTCTATCTTTCTGAGTATTTCTGCTAATGCCATCCCTGTTGGGTCCTGGGAAGACTTTGGTCTTGTGGAGGCATGTTGCCAAGCATGCCTGGATGCTGGAGTGGTGAGGCAGGAGTGTGTAGGTGGGTGGGTGGGGGAATACCCTCTTTGAAGCAGAGCTAAAGGGGATGGGATTGGCCTTTCCAGAGGGGAGACCAGGAAGGGGGAATAACATTTGAAATGTAAATAAATAAAATAACCAATTAATAAAACAAGAAAGTAGTGTCTATCAGTGTGCAGAGAGTAAGAGACTTTGGAACAATTTGTTCTCAATGGAAAATTTCTCTCACACCACTCCACTGGTTTCAGGACACAATGTGGAAAAGGATTTGGGAAGATTGCAAGAGTCAGAGGGATAAATGACTCCAAGGAAACAGAATCTTCCTGATAAAACAGGACTTATCTAAAAAAAGAATTTACAGACACTAGGACAACACACATAAAATTTATAGAACTTCAAGCCAGATGAGGTGACAAACACTTAGGGGGAAGTAGGTATGCAGAACCAAGAAGTAATCTACAATAGATATACTTTGGTAAAAGGGGAATCACTTTTCTCCAATGCAGTTTCAAACTCATTGGTATATCAAACACATTGCAGACCTTGTAACAAGCCCATGAGCAGTTGGACTATGTAAAATAAATGCTATGATTTTTGTAGACTTTTTGTTTGCTTGTTGGATTTGGAGCATTATTTGTCTTTTAAATTTTTTGGATGGTTTGCAGTATTTCTCTCTCTCTCTCTCTCTCTCTCTCTCTCTCTCTCTCTCTCTCTCTCTCTTTCTCTGTGTGTGTGTGTTGTGTGTGTGTCTGTGTCTGTGTGTGTTTGTGTGTCTGTGAATGTATCTGTGTGTGTGTGTGTGTGTGTGTGTATGTGTGTGTTGAAGGGTAAGGGATGAAACATAAAAGTCCTATGAGTAGAAACGATGTGGGAAAAGATAGGGCAGGGGATAAATCATGATCAAAATATTCTGCACAAAATTTTTAAATAAGTTTTTGTCCATGTGTTAACCAAGTCTTGAGTAACTGGAAAAAATGTTTTACAAAAACATATCTACAATCTTGTTTCTAAACTCAAGTGTGAAATTTTAACATCTGTCACCTACCAAGAACAGATTTAACCAAATAGAATTTATTGTCTCTTCTTATTTTTTTAAGCAGGAAAATGACAAATTTAATTATAATCAAATTAAAATAAAATACGAATACTTTACCACAACTAAGTGGTATGTCCTAAATTTATATTTTAAAAGACACTTTAGAGCAAAACTCAAGTGAATTTTACTTCAGTAAAGAAAATAAAACTTGAAAGATAATTTACAAGATTTCAGTAAATGGTAAGCTAAGATAAAATTTCAAATATAATATGAAGTAATATTTCAGAAAAAAGCTGTTGAACAACATCTGAAATAGTCAACATGGTGACCACTGTTAATTGCCTATGAAAAGTCTTGATACAGGAATAAATGCAATTTTTTTCCGAGACGACTTATCAGGTATCTCTTTACCCTAGTTCTATAAACATTCTCTTGCCCAACAGATGTTTTGCTATTGTTTATACAATGCATGCAAGGTAATTTGTAAAATGTACCAAGGAAAGAATATTAGATGCAAGACAAAATGACAGAGAAATAATAGTCATATACATATATGAAGAGTGAAGAGTCAAGATTTTGTCTATTTAAAATGCTTATAGCCAAGGCAGATGTATGATTTTTTTTAAAAGGGTAAGGTAAAGTCGGAATCTGTTAAAGTAGTTAGAAAAATTTTATCATTTAAAAATCATTTTCTGATTTCATTATTAGAATGTTTTATCTTGACTCTTTTTTAACCTCCTATGATAGATAAACAAAACTTAAACATAGCATCAACTAATATGACAGTGTTATTCTGCTCAGTGTTTATTCTTAGCTTTTCATCCCACATAGAAACCATCAGTAAATTACCTACAAGGAAAACAGTGAAAAGTTTCTCTCTCTCTCTCTCTCTCTCTCTCTCTCTCTCTCTCTCTCTCCCTCTCTCTCTCTCTCATATATATATATATATGTATACATATATATATATATATATATATATATATATATATATATATATATATATGCAGCCCAGTTAGAACTTAGATTATTTTAGATGTTACTAAAAATAATATTTTCACTATTCAATAAGTCACAGTGGATACATCTTCACCTGGATTGACATGAATTACACTTCTTACTGTATAGTCACCTTTATCAGTTGGCTTGAAAAGAAAGGTTAATCCACCCAAGTCAGTCAGTCTTATATAAAGGAAATGGAATGTGGCCTACGAGTGATTACAGACACAAATTCACTCAAGTTGTATTCAAATGACCCTAAGTCTGTGCACAGAAAAGAGAACAATGAGCATTACATAGATCAATGTCCAAACTGACAATAATTTCTTTCTGCTTCATAGGTAATCTCAAATCTGCCACATACTTTGCAGACTCTAGCTGTAAATCCTGAATAAGAGGCATTACTGAAAATCTCAAGAAGTTAACAATATTAAAGTATATTAATATAATATTTATTTTTGAATAATTTTTCTCACCCTGCTTCAGGCTTCTAGCTAATCATCTGGTAAAAGGGCTTTATGGTTAATTATTATCTCTGAAATAAAATCATTGAAAAATGAAACATGATATGAAGTTTCTTTCTTCAAAGCTGTATTATGGAGCTGTACTTGATTTTCAGAGTCTACCATGTGCAAATATGGAGCAAATTATATGGACCTGACAAGCTCTGGAGAATTCCTTCAGGATTTTATCTGCAATGTCATCTTTACATTGTGAGAGAAAGCAATTAAATACCCCAAGGGAAACATACTGGTTAATATCCACACATCTTTTTGCATTGTATGTTATCAATTGATTTTGGAATCTACAATTTATAGTGATTCTTTTTATTTTACTTTTATTTGAGATCATTCTGAAATGTATTCCAAGAAATTAACTTAGAAAATGGATTCAGTGTTTATTTGAAATTAATGAAAAAGTAATAAGCATCAGTAGGGCATATTTACCTTTGTTCTTATTGATTCACTTCCCTTGGTCCATTCTTGTACCTCCTTATACTACTTCATTCTGGCACAATTCCTTCATCCAACAATCCTGCTTCCATAGAAAATAGTTTCTTCTTTAGTATGCACATGTATTACCATTACATTTAAATTCTGAAAATAATGTATGGCAACAAGAGATAGATATGTGCATTCAATTACACATGATCACAAGGAATTTTAAAATGTGTCCTAAAGTGGAAATCTGTAAAATAAGTGAACCTATTTCTAAATACCATATACATTCCAATAAGGATGAATATAGACACAGACAGACAGACACACACACACATACACAATCACATACACACTATAATGGCAACACTGAAGGTCAAATATATGCTCAGAGAATATCAAGAAACATATAACTTATTACACTTAAACAAAACTGATTCTTTAACAGAATAAGGAAGAATTTCTCACAAGAAAAAAAAAAGAAGCTGCTTCCCTAATTGCTGATTCATCTGGAGCAAAACCAACCTTCCCAAAGCAGCCTACTGTCCCCTGGGAACCTCATACCCCACCACACACACACACACACACACACACACACACACACACACTCCTGACCACCTTCAGCAGACCTACGAATGCTGAACAAAACAAGTCAGTGTCCATTTTCCCACTCATCTTCCTTGCTTACTATATCCACTGGAATAAGTCAAGCTGCTCTAAGGAGCATGCTAGCCTAGGCATATCTTCATTCTCCCACCACTTCTCTGCCCAACATTATCAGATCTGCAACTCCAGAACCATACAGACTACAGATCATGAACCACACAGACATGCAGATCCTAAACCATACAGCCTAAAGTAACCCAAAAAAGGCCTGCTGTACCATTAACACCAAGGTTATGACCTCTCCCATTACCTACTGCAACTGCAATATCCAGTGACCAAAGCTATCCAAATGGCTGAAGGCCCTCAAAACAATACAATAAACAAAGACCAAGGTAAAATGAAAATTTCAGAGCACAGCTATTCTACTATAGCAAGTCCTGAATATCCTAACACAACAGAAGCACAAGAGAATGACCTTAAATCCAATCTTAAAAAAAAAAAAAACAACAACACAGGTCTTTACAGAGAAAAGAATAGACTCACTAAGGAAATACAGGAAAATACAGTCAGACAGCCTTTTAAAGGGACAAAATAAATCCCTTTAAAATATAAAGGAAAGTATAATTAAATAGGTAAAAGAAAGAAATAACACTGTACACGGTCTGAAAATAAAAATAGAAGCAATAAAGAAAACAAAAGCTGAGGGAATCCTGGAGGTGGAAAACCTAGGGAAGGGAACAGGAACAAAAAATGCAAGCATCACCAACAGGATAAAGGAGATGGAAAAGAGACTCTCAGGCATAGACAATACAATAGAAAAAATAGATACATCAATCAAAGAAAATATTAAATCTAAAAACTTTTTGACACAAAACATCCAGAAAATCTGACATTCCATGAAAATTCATTACCTAAGCATAACATAAATAGTAAAAAG